CCAGAACATGCTGTCTTTCCTACAGTTAAATTTGTCTGTGAAATAAAAGGCTTCCTGCTTTTAGGAGCGGAGCATTCCCCAGATACTGAAACACAGAATGGGAAGCAAGATAAATATTCTGGATAGTATACTCTTTGATGGCCCTTATTTTTAATAATAAGCATTTCCAGTTTTTATTTTAGGATATTTATATGATCTCTACTTTAACGTTGACAACCACATCTCATGATAGAGGGGCATGTTCAACATCAGTGTTGAGACAAATGTAGACACATAGAGCAATTAGTTTCAGGCATTTCAAAGCCTCTCATTTTTTCAATATAATTACTACTTCACATCATAACTATGAGGATATTACAACTTCAGATACTTGAAAAATATCTTAAGGACTCATCCTGACAAATTCTGCTCTAAGTAAGGCATATTCTAGAGGTTTCATCCTTGCCTTCCCACCATGTGATTGTAAAGGAAAGCAGAATCAGGCCTAGTCCAAGTTCAACCTGCAAAATGAGCTCACTGCATACATTCACATGAATAGGCAAATGAAATACACTGGCTTTCCAAAAAATAGTGCAGTTAAACCTCCACTGTACAGAAGATGCACAGAGAGCATTTTTGCTGTGTCTACCTCTAAAATGATTTCTTCTTGATAACTTTGGATTATCCATATTGTTCCTTTTGTGAGATTCTGTGATGAATTCTTATCTTCCTTAAGTTTTATTAATCTTTCCTAGATTCAAACAAGTCTCCCCTGGGAGGTAAGGCTATGACTCTTCTTTGTCTATCTAATTCCTCTAGTGTCAGTCTTTGTTGTCTTCCTTGCAGAATGTGAAAGATTACTACATTTTGGGGTAACATTGTAAGCTTTCCTCCAAGCAGATGAAGCCCTTCTTTAGCTTATGAACATATAAAATGTGTAGTAAGTTCAATTCTTTCCTTAAAAAAAGGAAGAAAAAACAAGCTACCATTTCAGGTTAACCAAATTAAATTTAAAAAAATAAATAGAAAATTCAGGAACAAGGGGGGAAAGCAGGAGAGTTTTCATATTTTAGATCAACTCCTGGCAAGGCCAAAGAGCCATGCGGAGTAACACCTCTCTCTCTAGTCTGTAACATACCTTTCCTCACCTTGTGGAGGTGAGCCCCAGCCTGGTTAGGAGCAGAAGTCTAAATAGCAGGGGAGTTGACAAGGAGGGTACAGTGTCCTTGTGCTGGTCCATAAAGGTGTATATGTACATGATGATTAGGGAACAGCAAATCAAAACAAACAAAAAAAAAGATAGCAAGTGCCTGGTCCAAACTCCTGATTAGGAGACTCCAGTGGGAAACCAGTTCTAGGGGAGTTTTGCAAAACCTTCCAACAGAGCAGACAAGTGAGAAGGCTTCCTCTCCAGCAGAAATAATTGAATTTTCTAATTCTCTGCACACACTTGAACAAAAAAAGTTGCCACATGGAGCAGTGTGATTGATCATCCTAACCCCAGCGAAATTTACAGTATAACAGGTGATATGAAAATCATGTTTCCTGGAACTGCTGCACTTAGAATCAGCCTTGTTGGGCTTCTATGAAGAGACAGAGGAGAGAGAGATTGAGTGGCTTTTTTAAGCCACTTGTGTTGCACTGTTTCAATGAGCAATGCATTTATGTAAGTATTCAATACATTTATGTATGTATCCTACTGCTTTTCAAATATATTTTCCTGTTGACACGGTTGTATTCAGTTACCATCTTTCTTTTGGTGGGTTCAGGGGCCAGGTCTTAATTATATCTTTCTTTACTATTCAGTTTATAGAGTATTACAGGATTCCAGGGCAGCCTGTTACATATGTCCCATGCCTAACACAAGGGATCTCCCAGCACAGGCAGGGTTTCTACCTATTCTTCCAATAATTAAAAAAAAAAAATTAAGCATTGTATATGAGCTTTAAATAGAGAATGCCTTTGATACAGAAGCACATTGTGTCTTCTACCCACCTCTCATGCAGTTGCACTACCTCTTTTCATCACGTCAAACCTTAACAGCACATTTTTAAGTCTCAGTTCCAGCAGCTAATCAGCTCTAGCACTCTTTGGTATCTGAGTTGATTTTTTTTTGTTTGGTTTGGTTTTGGTTTTTTGGGGTTTTTTTGGTTTGTTGGGTTTTTTTTTAATTTTTTATTTTTTGCAAGCTCTCACAGAGTTTGGGGATTTTTTTTTTGGTTGGGGTTTGGGTTTTTTTGCTTGGTTAATTGGTTGGTTGGTTTGGGGAGTTGGTTTTGATTGTTTGTTTGTTCAGTCGTTTGTTTAGTTCTGTTGCAATCTGTTTCATATTTTAAAGTGTTCCATCAACAGGTTAGCCAGTACTAATGTCCTGCTGTACGGTGGCTTGTAGCAATCTCTTGCAGTAAGGAGCGACTTATAATTGCAAACGCGATTGTTTTGAGCTCTAAAAGAAATGTCAGCAATATTCAGTGCCATCAGCATTGACTGCTCGGCTGGGAATCCTATACATCGTGAACTTGGTTTTCTTCAGAGAAAGTCCCTTTGCCACTGGCCATGTTACCTTGCGTAACAACAGTTTGGATAAGGTTTCTGGCCAACGAGCTCAGAACCAGCACTAATATCTTGATGGGAAACGAATATTTCGGGATAGTTGTTTGCTTTGTCTAGCTACACGGGTGTTTTACACGTTCGTCGTTCATTAATTCCTAACGATCGTAGCTTTGGGGTCGGTCAGAAGTGAGTTGTGAAACCTGACTGTGTGCTAACTACGGCACGCAGAACTACTCTTTCTGTTGTTTTTACTGTAACAAAAAATAATAAAATAATAATAATAGTAGAAAAAAAACCAAAACCAAACAAACAAAAAAAAAGTCCCTCCCTCCGCTTTTGCAGGTTCGCATTTTTCTTCAGTTGTTTCTGTAACTCCAGCAACAATTTGGAGGGCAAAATGATAAAACAGAGAGAAGACTGCAAATGGTTTGATAAATGTGGTGAAAAGTAGATTAATTGCCGAATAACAACTTCTTATATAGTTATTTTTCACCTAGGAGACATCCTAGGCTGCAGTTACATGGAAGGGTAGTTTCTTTAGATGAATTTTTGTTCTATATTATAGAACTAAAGAAAGGGACACAAGTATAGCTGTTGAATCTGATCAAACTTCCATTGGTTGGGATTTAGAAAAAGGAGGATTTGCCTCTATTGGTATTGATTAATCTCGTGGCAGTAATCAAGTAAGGGTCTATCGAGTTGGGAAATATTAGAATTAACAACCAAAGGAAGGTTTCGATATAGATCATCAGTTATGAAAAACAGGTAAATAGAAACGACATATCATCACCCTGGACATCATCGGTTCTATGTGTCTCCAACTGGTTTTTAGCCACGTAGTAACTCACGGACTTAGAGGCTTTTAATTTCTTTAACTATCATTATAAATTCAGATCAGAAAAGGGTCGCTCGTGTGACTTAGACCGTCAATTCGTCGCCTGCACCTTCCCAGGAACTATAGTTTGGGGAAACCTGAACTGTGAAGTGCACCCGCACCCGGCTGGTCCCCTTATGTGTGTCCACTTGGTTACATCGCCCTTGCCACAGCCTCGATAATATTCCTTTTTTTTTTTTTTCCAAAGCAAGGGCACCCTGTGAGACTCCTCTTGCTACTTGACACTAATTCGAATCTGATTAAAAAGCGAGAGGAGAGGTCAAACAACTCTCCTAGATCATCGCTACGGCGAGAAAACTTCACAGAGCCGCAGGAGCCGCTTTCCCGAGCTCGGCTGGCGCCGGGACAGCCGCGGCACTGGCTCCCTGCCTCAGGATGCCACAGCAGCTCCTCCCCGGCTGGGATAGAACGCCAACAGCGGCCCCGAGCCGCGGGGTTCTGACTGCGCCGGGATCCCCTCGCTGGGCTGGGGAATCTTTGCGCATCTATGCCTACTGCCCACGGAAAGACAAATGGAAGAATAGTTGAAAAAGGAAGGAAAACCCCTTCTTATCTAGCCGAAACACCGATTGCTTCTTTTCCCCACTGAGAAACCCGTTCTCGCACGCACGGGTGAATTTCGTAATGGCACAATTGTGGTTTCTATCTTTATTTTTAAAATAAAAACCATCGATGCACTCTAGGAAATACCTTTCGTTTCATACTGCCCAGTAGTGACTGTATTAAAAAGGCAGGCGTTTCAGCTTTCTGAAAAGGTTTATTTCCAACCTGGGGATATAAAGCGTGTGAACTTAGAAACCAAGGGACAACAAAAGCGTTTGCAAATATGTTAAAAAAAAATTAAAACACTTGGTTACTCTAGGATAGCAGATAAAATCGTCCCACGAGATTGCGGGAGGCAAGATTAGCCCAAGAGACGGCTTATCTTGTTCTGTAAAAACATCACACAAGCCCCAGTTTGAGAACCAGTTAGCACAAAGAGTGTAAGAGAGTTTGGGGTGTATTTTCAAAAGGAGAAAAAAAGTAGGAAAGTCACAGCTTAAGAACCACATCTCAGTAAAGGTGTCTACATTTTGATAGTGTCAAAGATGGGGAGAAGTTACTCTGAGGGATATTAGAGGTGGAGAGTTTGATATAGAGGAGCACAGCGCGGCCTTCGCCTTTACCAATCTGTGTAAAACTGACTCGGCTCACGGTAGCTTGACCGCCACGGCGCTTGGGGCAGACGTGGGGACGTAGTCCCCGTGGGCTGAGGCAGAGCATGGGCTCCCCTGTAATACGGGAACGGGATAATTCGGAAAAGAGGCAGGCAGAACACGTCCCGGTCTCTTTGGTGGCTCCGTGTTATCTCCTCCATCCTGACCACAGAAAAAAGCGCTGCAAGAGCAGGGGCGGTCTGGCAGCGCCTTCCCGAGCTTTAGCAACACGTCGGCAGCCCACGGACACGCGTGGGGGGGACCCGAGCGGCCCTTCCGTCGGCTGTGGTGACGACTGACAACCCAGTGGCACGGCGGGGTCATAAATAACATCGGGCGGCCCCCGGCGAAGGGAAGGTCGGGGGCCGGGGGAGAGGTTATACGTCCCCGTCCACCAGGCTGAAGTGTTTGCCCGACCCGGGGAGGCAGAGGTAGGGGATGGCGCTGCCCGGACAGAGCAGGGGCAAAGGCAGCGGCAGCAAGCACCGACTGAACAGGGGGCTGTCCTTGTAGAGGGCAGGGAAGGAGAGAGACGTGGCGGTGGCGGCAGGGGGCGGCGGGTCCCCGGGGGGCTCCGCCGGCCCCGGCCCAGGGCCCTCCGCCTCGGACGACATTTGTCTCTTGAGCTTGTTGCGGCGGTTTTGGAACCAGATCTTCACCTGGGTCTCGGTGAGATGCAGCGCGGCGGCCAGCCCGGCCCGCTCCGAGCTGCTCAGGTAGCGTTTCACGTCGAAGGTGGACTCCAGCTGGAACACCTGGCTCTTGGAGAAGATGGTCCGCGTCTTCTTCCTGCCACCAGCCGTCGGCGACCTCCCGTTCTCCGCGCCGCAGCCCCCGGCCTCTCGCGTCGGCGGCTGCCGATGGACGCGCAGCTTCTCTTTGGGGAGCGGGGAAGCCGCATCCCAACCCTCGGTCTCGCGGCGGAGGCCACGGCTCGTCCCTTCTGCCCGGAGCCGGTGGGACTCGCTGCCTGCAAGGGTAAAGCACAGCATCAGTGCCCGCCACCGCCCGCGCCCCCGCCCCGCATGCACGCACGGCCCGGCGGAGCGCAGGGAGAGGGTGGGGGAGAGGGTGGGGAGGGGGCTGCCGAGGGCTGGCTGCGGTCCCACACCCTCCAGAGGGGAGAAGAAGAGTAAGGCGCTTCCATAAGGATCTAAGGAAATCCCTTTGCCAGCTGTGTGACAGGGAAGTGAGAGGCTCCCGGGCACGGGACAGACAACCCGGGAGGAGGGCGCAGCGCCCTCGAAGCAGGTTGGTGCGTGTGCGGTGGCATCTCCCCGCGTCCTCCCGCGGAGCCTCCGTTCCTCCTCCGGCTGCGGGCGCGCCGCGACTGCGTGTGCGTGTCTGTGTCTGCGTGTGCGTGTCTGTGTCTGTGCCTGCGTCTGTGCCTGCGTGTCCGTGTGCGCGGGCCCAGCACGGCGGCACTGGGGATACCGGAGGTACCGCCTGGGTGGAGGCCGGTCTGCGACCCGACGTGCGAGACAGCCTGAGGCGGCTGCTGGCTCCGTACCCGAGTCTCTGGAGCCTTTACTGGGGTCTTGCTCCGCAGGCCCCTCTCCTTCCTCCTCCTCCTCCTCCTCCTCCTCCTCCTCTTCCTCCGGCGGGGCGCAGCGGGCTCTGCCCTGCTCCCGGGCTGGGCGGCAGGGGCCGGGCTGCAGGATGCTGGCGATGCTGAAGGCCGGCGGCGCGGCCGGGGCCGGCGGGGGGG